ATTTATTATCCAGTTCTCCTCCCCCTCAATGGGCAGAGGAAATGCAACAAGCCTGTGTTAAAGCAAGCTGCGACTCCTCCCCCCCCCCCCCCAAAGACTTCACTTAAAGGCACTCTGGGTTTAAATTAAAACATAAAACAAGATTATTAACTACAAAAGATAGATTTTTTAAGTGATTATAAGGGATAACAAACAGATCAAAGCAGATTACCTAGCAAATAAACAAAAACACAAACTAAGCTTAACATACTACTTAGAATGGATATGAATTAGCAATTTCTCAACCTGAGAGATGGTACAAGCAGGCTTGCAGATTCTTAAGGGACAAGCAGCATTTGCTTTGCATCTTGGAATCCCCAGATTTTAATAGGATAGAAATCCCTTTAGCCTGGGTCCAACACTTCTCCCAGTTCAGTCTTTGTTCCTCAGGTGTTTCCTGGAGTTGTCTTGTGTGGGGAGAGAACAACAGATGATGTTGCTCCCAGCCTTATATAGCTTTAGCATATGGCAGGAACCCTTTGTTCCAAAACAAGTTTCCAGACCAGTGTGTGGAAAAATAGACTATCCCCAAATGGAGTCCAGAGTCACAGGCCCTTGCATACTTTGCTGAGTCATAGCAGCCATTACTTACAAGCTGTCTGGAACATTTACAGGAAGGCTAAGATCTTCCAGGGTCCATTGTCTTTGCTGATGGGCCATCAGCACTGATTGCTTTCTTCATTGTTGTACCTGAAAGGCTAGTTGTGGGTGTCATCCAGAGTAAGCACATTTGAATTGTGCTTCAGATTATATTGTCAATATTCATAATTTTAGATACAAAAATGATACATGCGTACAAATAGGATAATCGTATTCGGCAAATCATAACTTTTCTGATGACACCTCACATGACCCATCTTGTACAAAAAGCATCATAATTATGCCATAATCATCATATAATATCACTGTGAAGAATATGGGGTGCAGTGTCACAGGGATTTATGGGCAAACCACCTTCAGTTACTTCTCGATTGCTTCACCTGAGACCGAACACTAGCATGTCTTCCTAGAGCATACTCTGCCTTTTCTCTTTCTCAAAGTTAGTTTGTAGTTTTAGTTTTCTGTTTAGTATAGTTAGTTTTAGATGACAGGACTGTTTTCCCCTCATTTCCCCAGGGAGACCTGTCTTCTCCTGGCAGAGTGTGCCTGGTTCATCAGTCTTCAAATGTTGCCTCTCTTGCCAGGAGGCTGTAATGGTAAGCCTCAGGCACTCCAAATGTGTAGTACACCGCTACCTCGATATAACATGACCTGATATAACACGAATTCGGCTATAACACGGTAAAGCAGTGCTCCGGGGGGGGCGGGGCTGTGCACTCTGGTGGATCAAAGCAAGTTCAATATAACTCTGTTTCACCTGTAACGCAGTAAGATTTTTTTTGGCTCCCGAGGGCAGCGTTCTATCGAGGTAGAGGTGTACTTCTCAAGAACTAGACCATATGACAAGGACCAAAAATCACTTCTTTTTGGACAACAGTCTTACTCATCCACAACCCTGCAGTTCCAGATGGTGAACTATCAGGTGGTCATGGCCAAACACAATTTTACTAATCACAACAAACTCTCAGCCTTTTTGGAACAGCTGCCACGTGACTGCTGGGAGCAATTCCAGTCCATAGCTGGAGGGTCAGCTCTTGGTCAGCGTGGCTCTCCAGGCATCCCTAGATACTGCAGACACTGCTGCCAGATCCATCTCTGCAGCGGTAGGTTATGCGCAAGGTGTCATGGTTCCAACTTTTGGGGTTTCCAAGAGATGTTCAAAACACT